GTTATTACTCCCGCGACTGTTATTTTCAATAGCCCGGGCTCCCACCGGCGCTATAGGGTGCTCGAAGAAGCGGACATAAATTCCGCCGACGACGATCGCCTCTCTACGATGCCTCGCATTCTTCGTCGCGCCGTGACTACACCGCACTCACATACTTGCGAACGCGGCCGCGGCGCTTTTTCTCGTCGGCGAAAAACGGCACGGCCTCATCCATTACCGTGCAAATGCAATTATTATCGTTTCGAGCGAACGCACGCCCGGCACAGGCCGCGCAAGAAGAGCGGTATATTTGTCCGTCGCTGCGCGCAACCCGCTAAAAACCGACTTTCAATTAGCAGACGCAGGATGGAAAGTAACGCACCAAATACGTCGCGCTCGTGCATTGAGAAAAAATGTTTAAAAATTTATTTGTGAGATATAAAGTTTATTTCTATGAAATAAAGTTGATTTCTGTGAAATAAAGTTAATTTCTGTGAGATATAAAGTTAATTTCTGTGAAATATATTTTTTGTTCCACAAATAAATCTTTAAATATTTTGTCTCAGTGTGAAAACTCACGATACATATTCGAACTCTTTCTGCCTCAAAAGATATATTGGATATGAATATGACATTTAATACATATGTGACACGATAATTATGTTACGTATGTATTATGACACGATATATATAAACATATGTGATACGTAATTACGATACATACGTAATGTTTAAATATTATATCTGTTATGGTCTATCAAATAACGAAATACTTCCTTCGTGTTATCCTAAGTATTTGCATCACTCAAATACAAGCCAAATTTATTACGTAGATTTAGCAAAGACAGACAGAAATGGAAAGACATGTTCTCTAAATTTCTTGCAGTGGAATCTCACTCAAAACGAGTGAAAAGTGACGGTATTTTCACTCGAAGCGATAGTGAAAATATCGTCACTGGAAATCGCAAGAGTGAATATTTCACTCAAGCTTAGAGTGGATATGTTCCTGTGGCGATATGGAATACATATACGAGATGGAATACCTGATATTCACTCTTTCGAGTGAAAATATTCACTCGACGATTCAGAATTCACTCTATATAAGTAAAAGGCAACTCAAATTCGAGTGCCTTAGTCACGCTGAGAAAAATAATATTTGAAAATTTATTGCTAGGATATAAAGTTTCCTCATAAAGAAGTAAACATTATTCCACAGAAATAAACTTTATACAAATAAAGTAATTTGTTTTCTACAAATAAAATATTTTTTTCTCGCTGCATTCAGGTTTTTGAGTAAAATTTCACTTCAAGAAATTTAAAGAATATGAATGTATCTAAACTAAATCAATACCAATTTGATCTTCACGCAAATATTCAACCCCACGTTTACCCTACTAACGCTTTCAAAAGAGGAACGGCGCATCTATGCGTCGCTGTGAGTGAATATGCATAGCTAAAGAAACATAAGGGTAATAAGAGCTCGGGATGTAAGGGACATTTGAATAAACGGACGTAAAATATTCATAGAGTCGCGCGGGTTCACGTGCGCGCCAGACAAGAGTAATCGGACGTATGTTCGAGGATCGCGTTTGTGGCGGCGGCGATCGACGTGACCGCGGTAAACGTTCGCCAGGTGAAACCCACGGCGAGAAGGGGTATACTCTCGAGCGAGCGCGCGAACCCTCGCCGTACCTAATGGTCGTACGAGCATGCACGATCCTGCGGGCGCCCGGCAATTACATTATTAATAGAGATATTACTCCCTACGCTCGGGCATTACGACATCGTAACGTCATAAGAGAACGCGCGTAGTTCGAGATTGGCTTCTCCGCGTAGGGGGAGTGTGTGTGTGTGTGTGTGTGGTGGTGGCGGTGGTGGCGTGTGTGTGTGTGTGTGTGTGTGTGTGTGTGTGTGTGTGTGTGTGCTGTGTGTGTGTGTGAAACAGAGAGAGAGAGAGAGAGCGAGAAACCAGCGAGGGGGGTCTATAGCGGGAGGAGGCATTAAGGTGAAAAATAAGAAGAAACGACGCGTCCGCGGAGGTGGAGGTGGAAAGAACGAGGGGATGGTGGCACTGCGCAAAGACGTAGGATAAGACGCGGTAGGGTGAGGGCAGAGAGGAGACGGGGGAGAGAAGCTCTCGGATTGGCGCCGCAGATTGATCGCGCCAATCTGTTTCTGCCGGACCACACATGACGCCCGGCGGAAAATTTCAGCGCTCCTAGCAGCGCGCGCGTCGTCGTCGTTATCGTCGTCGTCACCGTCACGAACTTAGGCACACGTCGTGTGCTAACACGCTAATATGGAAAATGTCGAAGTATCTGACGACGCGCGCGCGCGCCAGGTGGATGAACGGCGACGGAACGTTGGCGCGAATCGCGTGGTTGTATTCGCGGGGAGATATAGACGGGAAGACGGTAGAAGCCTGCGGGAGTAATTGCGTTATGCAGTACTCGTTAAACAAAGCGCGAGCACCGCATGCGATATGATCGATGCAAGCCGATCATTTGCTGCTCCGTAAACTTCTCTTGCGCTCCTGAAATGCTCGGCTTACGCTCGTTTCTATCAATTTTGATTAACTTAACCGGCCGGTTATTCCAACGGAATTAACTAATCGCATTTCTCGTTAGTCAAAATTGACAGATGCGATTGGTCCATTAGAATAACCAGCCGATTAAGTTAACCAAAGAAACAAGCATTAGACGTCATCATGAGAGCAATGCACTCGTCAACTCGTAAACTCGCGACGAGGTTTTGATCGAGAGATCGACAGTCTTTGCAAGTATACTTTCTTAGAGTGAATCAGTAAGAATATTTCTGATTTAGATATTTCACCGATGATCAACCAATACACTGAAAGAAAAGATATCCAAAAAATAATAAGTACTTATTTGGTGGATACTAATAACATATATTTATTTATACTAATCTATACCAGAAAATATACCAGAAAATATACCAGAAAAAAGAATATCCTTGTTAAGAAAATATCTGTATTATTAATATATTAAAAATAAGATTAATGTTAAAAGATGAGATTATATGGCGTTGAACAAAAATAAATTAGTCTTCAATCAAGACAAATATAGTCAAATTAACACAACTATTTTTTTCATGTATAAGCAAGAATATCAATATATAAGAAAATGATTGTGTTAGTTTTACTGTATTCGTTTTGATTATAGACTAATAATATATAACCAAGAATATTAATATTATAATATTTTACAAAAAAATGATGGTAAATATTGACAAAGAAAACGGACCACCTTCCAAGGACGATGACCTTCACATTTATTATGTTAATCTGATTATATTTGTCTTAACAACGCCATATAATCTTATTTTAACATTAATCTTATTTTTAATATGTTACCAATAGAGATGTTCTCCAAACAAGAATATTTTTTTTTGTATAAGATAGAATGTTTATCTGTATGTTCCCTATATATTTCTAAATCCTTTGACCAATCTGGACAAAATTTTATGTAGTATAAGACTTTCTCTCTATAGAAAATATAGGTTAACCTAGGCACTTCTGATTTTATTCCTTTGATACTTTGTGATAATCGGCGCAAAGCTGGACAATTTTGGCTAGAAAATATTTTCAAGAAAATTATATTATTATATATACATAATTTCATACATAATGTATTAAATACATACATAATTTCTATAAATATATTTTTCTTCAAATTTTAGGAGAACCTTAGCTTATTATGAAAACAATTGTTTATTCTATTTAAATAAAAGAATTCGGATTTAAATAAATATGTTATTAGTACCTACCAAATGAAATATTTACTATTTTTTTCTTTCAATGTATTCACTAACTTTCAATGATAATGGGAAAATATTCCCACTTTACTGTTTCATCTTACATCTTACTGGTTTTGATTAGTAAGATTTTATCAGCATCATCTGTAGTACACCAATTCGTTATATGCTGTACATGATTGCTGAACCATCTGTGTTTGATGAAATTAACAGCTTTTATATCATTTACGTACGATGGCACTGTCTGTATTTGCAGACTGCATCAATAATGTCAACAGTCGCTAACCAGATCACACAATATTTACGAAGTATTTTAGAAATATAGATATTAAGGCTCCTGGGGAGTTGCATCATCCATCTCTTTTTAATGACGTCAGAAGCTAGAAAACGCATGCTAAAAATTCCTGCAGAATATGTCGAGATAAATAGATATATCCACAAAACGACATTTGCGATCGATTAAGTACACCTCTAAAATACTCCATACACTTTCCTTTTGTTCTAAAAATCAATAGATAATCGGAAAATTAATATGACAAGATAATGAGGAAATTAGGTTAGAAAAGACGATTGCACGTCACATTTATTTTATAATTATCTGTTGATTGTTAGAATAAAAGGAAAGTGTACGGAGTATTTTAGAGGTGTACTTAATCGATCGCAAATGTCGTTTTGTGGATATATCTGTTTATCTCGACGTATTTTGCAGGAATTTTTAGCATGCGTTTTCTCGCTTCTGACGTCATTAAAAAGAGATGGATGATGCGACTCCCCAGGAGCCTTAAATATTTTATAAATATATTCAAATGTTCGAGATTTTCAGGTATAAAAAGGATTATATTTAAATTAAATAAGAATAAATATTTAAAAATATTTATGAAAAATTATAATTTATGAAAGATTTATGATAAATATTTTTCATAAATATTTTTAAATATTTATCATAATATTTTTCATACTTGAAAATGTCGGATATTAGAATATTTATAAATTATTTAATATATCTATATTTCTAAAATATTTTTTAAATATTGTGTTGTCTGGGTACTATTGACTGATTTTCCCTTCAGCGAGATTTCACTAATTGCAGTGCTACACTTGTAACTAAATCGCCAATTATAAGTATAGCATTTCAGTGAAGAATACACTGATTTAGAAAGTGCACAAGCTGTCTTTCACAACTCGAACATTCACCTACAATTTGACCTACAATATTGGTAATAACTTTACTATCGATATTCACTCACCAGGAACTTGACAAGCCACCATTGCATCGGCGATGTATCGACGGTGTCTCGATCCTGGAGCCGATCGTGGAGCAGGTCCTCGTCATCGGGGTGGTCGCGGCGGTGGTGGCGACGACGGAGGTGGCGGCGGCGGAGGTGGCGGCGGCGATAGAGCGGGGTGGGGATTGCGCACTGACGGTGAGGATTATGGAAAGGAAAGGAATGGAAAGGTAAGGTAAGAATAAACTAGGCGCGGTGGGAGTGAGTCCGGATGGCCTCCATTCTCGTCACTGGCTGCGAAGAGGACGGCGCCGACCAATCGGCAAACGTTGCCTCCAGTCTCACCTCTCCTTGTCCTCCGCCGTACTTGCGGATATCTCGGCGCCTGTGTGTACACATAAGGGGGAAGATGCTTTAAAAAATCGCGCCTCACCTGCCTCACGCAGGTCGGGGGTCACCCTCGGACGCCCCTCCGCCGCGACGTATACACCGACGCAATGCGGCTTCGCGCGCGCGAACGTGATAGCTCGCGACATGATATGGACGACTGCGATATGAGAACGCCCGTATGCGATCCACCTACCTTCGTAAGCTCCGCTGCACGGCTCGTGCACTCTGCCCCGGCGACTACAAGCACGCACGCATGCACCCAGGCACGCACGCATTCGCGGGCACGCATCCATTCGCGAGTACGTGTGAAGATTTGGCCCAAATCCGAAGATCCTTCGCGGACACGATGCAAACGAAGTGCCGCCTGCCCGTTCCGCGACGCCTTACTTATTCCACTCGTTCCTTCGTTTAGAAACGGTCGTTTCGTGCCTCGCCGTTTCTTCATTCGCGCGTCCTTATTCGCGAGCTCTGATTGGCCCGTCGCGTATCATTTCATCGTTCCTCGTCAGAAACCCTTGTTTCTCCCGTTCCTCCGTTCAGCTGTAAAATTGTCGAGCAATTATATATAATCACATCAATTGTATACATAAATCTCAATGATTTTGAATGCAACCCTCGGAATCATACAATATAAAGATGACGATTAATCAGCTCGTACAATTGTTCAGATGAAAGTTTATATGAATTATTCGCTTCTCTATCGAACATCAGACGCACGATCGGCATAAATCTCTGTGGTAACGGCACTTTTACGCGACGGCCCTGTAAATAACCACCACCCACACGGAGCGAGTTTGCACGTATCGCAAAATATCTTTGCTTGGGATCCTTCCCATCTGGCTCAATGTTCGATAACTTCCAATTTAATGTCCTATTTTAGGATCGTGCCGTAGATTTCAAGGTTATATTTACGCAAATTGTTTGCGTATATTGTCTACATGATGTACACGGTCTCTCTTACCTCGGTAAAAACGACATTCACAGATTACTCATTGTCTATATTTCGTGCACAGCTTACGTTGTCTAGTTACTTAGAATATTATCTCATACAGCACGCGTATCTGGAAGACGTCTAAACAAAACAGGACGTTGAAGAGATGAGATATGTATGTGTGTGGGCTATTTCGTACTACGTTATCTACATATATCGACCATACCGACTGCGACACGCCCAGCGCCAGCGCGGTTTCGCTTGTTCCTCTGATTAAGCTAGTTTCGCTCTGCTTCCACAGATTCCGCTCGTTCAAAACATAACCAACAACACCCAGTGCGAGAAACTCTCTCTCTCTCTTTGTTTTGGTTGCAAGCCTGCGACTTTGGCTCTTTTGCAGTGCGAGAAATGACGTTTCGTGATGTGATACGTGCGGCGACGAAAAGGGCAAAGAGAGAAGAACTTGACAGGATAAGGAGAAGGGAGAGTAATAAGCTGCGACGTCGTCTCGACTTCGATTTTATGCACGCTGGCTGCAATCCGAGATTAAAGACTACGATTATTTCGCAAAGCGGCTCGAGGCTGCGAGCGCATAAGACAAAATGCCGAACATTAATGAGACCGCGTTTGGGCTCCCTTCACTTCGATCACTGACGACGATGCAGCCGAGAGCGTCGTGCCTGCATATATCAGTCGTAAAATTGCTCGAGTTTACAGGTGAGTGCTCCGCGAGAAAAAGAATTTAACCTCGAAATCTCAACCATGTATCACACTCGACACACGTCGATACATTTCGATTACGTCCAATGCCCGTTTCTATCAACGTCGAGTAAACCTTGACCTGAGTTTAAACTTTATTCAGACAAATTTGAACGTAGCTTAAAGTCTATGATAAATAATAGAAAGATAAGCGAAGTAAGCTTGGCATAAGCTGCAGTAAAAAATAAAAATAATTTATTTTGCTTACGCGCCTCCCCCCCCCCCC